ATAATAATAATAATAATAGTAAAGTTGGAAGGGACCTTAGAGTTCATCTAGTTCAACCCTCTGCTCTGGCAGGAAACCCTATACCATTTCAGACAAATGGCTGTCCAGTCTCTTCTTAAAAACTTCCAGTGTTGGAGCATTCACTGCTTCTGGAGGCAGGTTGTTCCACTGATTAATTGTTCTAACTGTCAGGAAGTTTCTCCTTAATTCTAGGTTGCTTCTCTCCTTGATCAGTTTCCATCCGTTTCTTCTTGTCCTGCCTTCAGGCACCTTGGAGAAGACCTTGACTCCCTCTTCTTTGGGGCAGCCCCTGAGATACTGGAAGGCTGCTATCCTGTCCCCCCTCGTCCTTCTTTTCATTAAACTAGACATCCCCAATTCCAGCAACCGTTCCTTATATGCTTTAGCTTCCAGTCCCCTAATCCAGTCCCCCTTATTAGGATGGGTCATACAGTCAGCCAGATGTTTGGATTGGATTTGGCATTTTTATCCATCAACTGAGTCCCTCCCAAGGACCTGGGATAGGCAGATATTCTTGTTTGAGTTGAATGAAAGATATCATCACAGGATGTGAGGTGTCCTAAACCAAGCTGCCTTTTGCAGTTGACCGATGGTGACTTTGTCCATACTGATGCTCCAGATGTTTGCACCCAAGTCGTTCTACTTCTGTTTGCAGGTCTATATATATTTTTCTGATTTTCTCCAGTTCTTTCCCTTCTCTTCTCCTGTCCCCAGCTACCGTCATGTCCATTATCCAGACTTTTTTTTTTGTCTTTCTTATTAACAATCGTTAAGTTGGGAGTGTTTTGTGACAGGCGCTTGTCTTGTTTGAATTCTAGCCATCCCAGAGCGATTTATCTTCTTCATTGTCATTTTATCTGTTTTGGGGTCTGTTTCTGTGTTCCAATATTGGGGTTTGAAGACTTTCACGAGCCAGAGGATTAGGGCATCTACCTTTACAAGTTGGGCTGGTTGAAGTTCAGTCTTTCAAAAATAACTACAGGTAGTCCTTGGCTTTTGTTGTTGTTAATTGCGAAGTCGTGTCCGACCCATCGCGACCCCATGGACAATGTTCCTCCAAGTCTTCCTGTCCTCTACCATCTTCTGGAGTCCATTGAAGCTCACGCCTCCTGCTTCAGTGACTCCCTCCAGCCCCCTCCTTCTCTGTCGTCCCCTTCTTCTCTTGCCCTCCATCTTTCCTAGCATTAGGCCCTTCTCCAGGGAGACCTTCCTTCTCATTAGGTGGCCAAAGTCCTTGAGTTTCAACTTCAGGATCTGGCCTTCTGAGGAGCAGTCGGGGTTGATCTCCTCTAGGACTGACCGGTTGGATCGCCTTGCAGTCCAGGGGACTCGCAGGAGTCTTCTCCAGCACCAGAGCTCAAAGGCCTCCATTCTTTGGCGCTCAGCCTTTCTTATGGTCCAACTTTCACAGCCGTACATTGCAACTGGGAAAACCATGGCCTGGACTATACACACTTTTGTTGGCAGGGTGATGTCTCTGCTTTTTAGAATGCTATCTAGATTTGCCATAGCTTTCCTCCCCAGGAGCAAGCGTCTTTTAATATCTTGGCTGCAGTCCCCGTCTGCGGTGAGTCCTTGGCTTACAGTGGCTTATTTAGTGACCATTCGAACACCACTGAAAAGAGTGACATCACCTTTTTTCGCACTTACAACTGTTGCAGCATCCCCGTGGTCACGTGATCAAAATTCAGACCCTTGGCAACCGATTCGTATTTATGACAGTCGCAGTGTTCCGGGGTGTGTGTGTCACGTGATGAGGAAAGCCAATGGGGAAGCCAGATTCACTTAACAACCGTGTGACTAACTTAACAAACGCAATGATTCACTTAACAACTGTTGAAAGAAAGGTCGTAAAACGGGGCAAAAGTCACTGAACAAGTGTCTCACTTAGCAACATAAATTTTGAGCTCAGTTGTCATAAGGTGGGGTTTACGTGTACAAGGCCCTAATTGGGTTTTGGATCAATCCAGACAGCGGTTTCCTACAGCTGGGTCTCTCTCTCAGGTTTCCTTTAATCTCCTAAATTTTCTCCTTCATTTATTCATTTTTTTTTTTCTTCCTCCAACCCTTTTATTTTTTTGCAGAGTGGTATTATACTTTAATTACCCCAATAAATGAAACCAATGCAGTAAATTTCCTTTCTACCTACTATTACTCAGTTTTACAAGTTCCAAGGCAGCTGAAACTCCTGTTTTTTTCTTCTTCTCTCCCTTTCTGTACACATCCAGGTGCCTAAAGTGTTCATTATAGTTCCCAGAAGTTTTAAGTATTTGTTATCTGGATTGCAATGCTCACAGTGGGCATTTTCCAGCTGTGGTGGAGATTATTGTGTCACGAAAATGTGCTTTCTTTGCAGAAAATCTGCAGTTCCAGACTTGACAAATACAGAGACAGGCTTAAAAATATGTAGATATTTTTATGACTTGTGGACTACAACTCCCAGAATTCCTCAGCCAGGATGCTTTAAGACAGGGGTCTTCAAACTTGGCCCTTTTATGACTTGTGGACTACAACTCCCAGAATTCCTCAGCCAGGATGTTTTAAGACAGGGGTCTTCAAACCAGGCACACTAGCTGAGGAATTCTGGGAGTTGAAGTCCACTCCTCTTAAAGTCTATATCAGGGGTCTTCAAACTTGGCCCTCGTATGACTTGTGGACGTCAACTCCCAGAATTCCTCAGCCAGGCACTCCTCTTAAAGTCTATATCAGGGGTCTTCAAACTTGGCCCTCTTATGACTTGTGGACTTCAACTCCCAGAATTCCTCAGCCAGGCACGCTGGCTGAGGAATTCTGGGAGTTGAAGTCCACTCCTCTTAAAGTCTATATCAGGGGTCTTCCAACTTGGCCCTTTGATGACTCGTGGACTTCAACTCCCAGAATTCCTCAGCCAGACACATGTGCCTGGCTGAGGAATTCTGGGAGTTGAAGTCCACAAGTCATCAAAGGGCCAAGTTGGAAGACCCCTGCCTTTTTGTGACTTGTGACAAGCAAAGTCAATGGTGAAGCCAGAGTCACTTAACCATCATGTTACCAACTTAACAACTGCAGGGATTCATTTAACAACTGTGGCAGGAAAGGTTGTAAAATGGGGCAAAACACATTGACCAACACCAATTCTGGGTCCAGTGGTGGTTGAAGTCAAGGACTACCTGTAGATAAAGTTGCACCTGGAAGGAGAACGCAAGGAACTTGTCCTCGTTGGACTACCCAGGACCAGTTGTTAGATGTTGTGTGGATTTTGCCCTCTGCTCTCAAGGAAGGCACAAAGTTGTGCACCCAAAAGGATGCCGTTGGGAAGAATGAAACCTGGTGTGCAAATAAGAAAATTGGATTTCTTCTGCAAGTGGCTATCTGGGAACTCTCAGAGAGAGGCTCTCCACGAAGCAGAAAAAAGGGGCAGTGGGACAACTTTCCTGCCCTGAAGTTCTTTAGATGTTCTGGATTGAAAATTCTCAAAGCTCCAAGGTGAAATCTTTGGAGCTGCGGAATCCTTGGTGTTCGCTGAGCTTGGTTGTTTTCTTGCAAACATTTCATGACCTGATTGGGTAACATGGGCAAGCTCCATTATGGTCGTATGTTGAGGACTACCTATAGAAGAAAATAGAGTAGGGCAGAGGTCCCCAACCTTTTGGGCACCAGGGACCGGTTCCGTGGAGAGAGGTTTTTCTGCTGACTGGCGGGTGCGTGATTTTGTGGGCTGCCTGCATCTCGTGGATGAGGTTTTGCTTGTTTGTGTAGCCCGGTTCTGGCATGACGCGGCCGGTACTGGTCCACGGATGGGGGGGTTGGGGACCTCTGGTCTAGGAGACCTCCAGGGTCCCTCCCAACCCTGTTAGTGTGCTGTTCTGCTATTCTGCTATTCTGTTACTCTACTATTCTGCTAATAATAGCTAATCTGTTATTTTGCTATTCTGTTATTCTCTCTACTATTCTGTTATTTTGCTATTCTGTTACTCTGCAATTCTGTTATTTTGCTATTCTGTTACTCTGCAATTCTGTTATTCTGCTATTCTGTTACTCTGCTATTTTGTTACTTTGCTATTCGGTTACTCTACTATTCTGTTACCCTGCTATTCATTTACTCTGCAATTCTATTCTGCTATTCTGTTACTCTATTATCCTGCTAATCTGTTATTCTGCTATTCTGTTATTCTGCTACTCTACTCTTCTGTTACTCTGCAATTCTGTTACTCTGCTATTCTGTTACTCTGCTATTTTACTCTGCCATTCTATTCTGCTATTCTGTTACTCTATTATTCTGTTACTCTGCTATTCATTTACTCTGCAATTCTATTCTGCTATTCTGTTACTCTATTATCCTGCTAATCTGTTATTCTGCTATTCTGTTATTCTGATACTCTACTCTTCTATTACTCTGCTATTCTGTTACTCTGCTATTCTGTTACTCTGCTATTTTACTCTGCCATTCTATTCTGCTATTCTGTTACTCTATTATTCTGTTACTCTGTTATTCTGTTATTCTGTTACTCTGCTATTCTTTTACTGTGCAATTCTATTCTGCTATTCTGTTACTCTATTATTCTGTTACTCTGTTATTCTGTTATTCTGTTACTCTGCTATTCTTTTACTCTGCAATGCTATTCTGCTATTCTGTTATTCTATTATTCTGCTAATCTGTTCTACTATTCTGTTATTCTGTTACTCTACTATTCTGTTATTTTGCTATTCTGCTATTCTGTTACTCTGCTATTTTGTTATGCTGCTAATCTGTTATTCTGCTATTCTCTAATTCTATTTACTATTCTGTTCTGCTATTCTGCTAATCTGTTATTCTGCTATTCTGTTATTCTGTTTACTATTCTATTCTGCTATTTTGTTATTCTGCTATTCTGTTAACTCTGTTTTCTGTTATTTGTTATTCTGTCTTTTGGCGTTCGAAGGGTGGCTGAGCTCAGCCCCTGAAGAAGTTTGGGATTACATCCACTTAAAGACCCCCTTCTCCTTTCTCTCCCTCCCAGTGGCATTGGGCTGGCTCGGGCCCACTTTGAAAAGCAGCCCCCGTCCAACCTCAGGAAATCCAACTTTTTCCACTTCGTGCTTGCCATATACGACCGTCACGGACAGCCGGTGGAGATCGAGAGGACGTCTTTCATCGACTTTGTGGAGAAGGACAGAGTAAGCTCCCAATTCATACGTGGTTCTTTCAAACATCTCCCCAAATACACACCGACACAGAGGAAATAGTCAGGATGGAATATCCCCCAAACCTTTCCAGTTGCAGTCATTTTGATTTTTTTTTTCTCCTCCAGCAGCCATCAGAATCCAGCAGAGTTTAGACAGTTGCTGGAGTAATATTGAAAATATCCTCAATGGCTCCCCGAGCGCCTTTTTCATTCACGTATTTATTTTTTTATTGAGCATTTGTAAGGGGGGGGGAGATAAACCGCAGGAGACACAGCATATAAAACAGTGGTTCTCAACCTTTTTAATGCCGCGACCCCCCAACCAGTCGTAAATCGAGGACTACTCAACCGGTCGTAAGTCGAGGACTACTCAACTGGTGCAGCACCGTTTGCAGAATGGGACTTTTGGCGGGCTCAGCAGGGCAGAGACAGCCTGGACAATTCCTATTGGCTTTTGAAAGCCAATAGAATTAGACTCTATTCAAGAGAGTCTATTCTATTGGCTTTCAAAAGCCAATAGAATAAAAGGGAGTAGCACAGCTAAGGAAAAGGGGGAAAAAAATGGCGGACTGCGTTGTTTGGCGACCCCCGTGAAATGGTTGTTTGACCCCAAATGGGGTCCCGACCCCCAGGTTGAGAACCACTGATATAAAAGAAAGAAAAGAACCAGGATTAAGTGGCGAGCAGAAACACCCAAGAGTCTAAAATAGCATAAAGGGAACTTTGCTGCAACATATCATTATGACTTTCATAATAATAATAATAAAGTTGGGAGGGACCTTGGAGGTCATCTAGTCCAACCCCAACACCCTTATGGCATTATAAACAATATCTATCTTTGAAGAAGAAAAGGGAAACCCCTCTTATTAAGCCTTCACCTAAAACTACCAGGTTAATCCTTTTAATAAATTTTATTAAATGTCCTTCCAAGATATAAATACAAATAAACCCAAATGTTAGAAAACCAAGAGAAAGTGCAAGGGGGGAAAAAAAGGGTGGCTCCTGACTTTTTCAGTGCAGTAAAATACAAAACAACCCGCAACCTCAACATTTTGCTTTATACTTCACAATGTTTCAGGTCATTGCTATAATAACAAAACCATTTTAATCATCAAAATCCAGCTTTCCCGTTGTTGTTTTTTTCCAGTTTCTGGCAAAAAGTCCAGAAACAGTTTCCACGTAGAAACAAAACTCGATAAATGCTCTTAGATTAAAACGGCCCTTTTCTCCTCCTCTGCCCACTTTGTCAAGTTACCGGATTAGGGCGGTGTGAGTGTCTCCTTAAAACTATCGACTATGGTGTGTCCAATCCATGCCAGAAATCTAATTTTCCATACAATTAAAGGATAGTCTTTGGGCAAAGACCCTGATCTAATAAAGATGACGTGTATTGGGCACTGTGTGTGTATTTCGGGGGGGTGCCATCTAGATTTTCACACACACACATGCACACAGAGAAAGAAGGAGGAAGGAAGGAAGGAAGGAAGGAAGGAAGGAAGGAAGGAAGGAAGGAAGGAAGGAAGGAAGGAAGAGAAAGGAGGAAGGAAAAAAGGCAGGAAGAAAGGAAGGGTGGAGAGAAAGAAAGGAAGGAAGGAAGGAAGGAAGGAAGGAAGGAAGGAAGGAAGGAAGGAAGGAAATGTGTGTAAAGCAAAATATCAAACATACACATAAAATGTCCCCCTTGACTGAATACTGATAAATATACAGGAAGGAAGGAAGGAAGGAAGGAAGGAAGGAAGGAAGGAAGGAAGATAAGAAAGGAAGGAGGAAGGAAAGAAAAAAAAGTGGAAAGAAAGAAGGAAGGAAGGAAGGAAGGAAGGAAGAAAGGAAGGAAGGAAGGAAGAAAGAAAGGGAGGAAGGAGGAAGGAAAGAAAGAAAGAAAAGTGGAAAGAAGGAAGGAAGGAAGGAAGGAAGAAGAAAAGAAAGAAAGAAAAGTGGAAAGAAGGAAGGAAGGAAGGAAGGAAGGAAGGAAGGAAGGAAGGAAGGAAGGAAGGAAGGAAGGAAATGTGTGTAAAGCAAAATATCAAACATACACATAAAATGTCCCCCTTGACTGAATACTGATAAATATACAGGAAGGAAGGAAGGAAGGAAGGAAGGAAGGAAGGAAGGAAGGAAGGAAGGAAGGAAGGAAGGAAGATAAGAAAGGAAGGAGGAAGGAAAGAAAAAAAAGTGGAAAGAAAGAAGGAAGGAAGGAAGGAAGGAAGGAAGAAAGGAAGGAAGGAAGGAAGAAAGAAAGGGAGGAAGGAGGAAGGAAAGAAAGAAAGAAAAGTGGAAAGAAGGAAGGAAGGAAGGAAGGAAGAAGAAAAGAAAGAAAGAAAAGTGGAAAGAAGGAAGGAAGGAAGGAAGGAAGGAAGGAAGGAAGGAAGGAAGGAAGGAAGGAAATGTGTGTAAAGCAAAATATCAAACATACACATAAAATATTCCCCCTTGACTGAATGCTGATAAATATACAGAAAGAGAAAAAAGAAAGAGGAAAAAAAGAAGAGAGAAAAAGAGAAAGAGTGAGAGAACGAAAAAGGTAGAGGGAAAGAGGGAAGGAAAGAGAGACAGAAAGAGAAAGAGAAGAGGGGGCTGAGGAAGGAGCCAATCTGGACAGGAGGATCTCAAGGTAGACAAGAGGAAGAGGAGGATGGTTGCACCCCAGGCTAATTCCAGCAAGATGCACGTTCAGAAGCTGCCCTCTCTGCCTCTTCTTCCTCAACTCCCTATCTTGACCTAAGCAAGATGGGGGATTCCCCCAAGACTCAGAAAGCAAGAGGCAACTCCAGTTTATCCACCCCCTTTCACACTTTATTGTAACTCCAAAGAAACGTGTCTCCCGCTTGCCCGCCATTCCTGGTTGAACGTGCCTTTGAGGAACACCAGGTTGAACATCTCCACCGGGCACCTTTGTTTTATTTCCTCCTTCCTTTCTGATAGGAGCAGAACGGAGAGAAAACCAACAACGGCATTCACTACCGGCTGCAGCTGCTGTACAGTAACGGTAAGGACCCTACAGCCGGGGCTGTGGTGAAGCCCTGCTGCCTTTGGTGAAGGCTACTTGGAAGATGGAAGCCGCTGAGATACATTGGCTCACGCAACGCTTGTGTTGACCCTTCGCCTGCAGTGGACTAGATAAGACAGGGCTCAGGGTGGCTTCAGAAGCTCGCAAGGTAATGAGGAGAAGACAAGCCCCCCACACACACAACTCACTCCAACTTGGAGGTCAGCAATTGGGGTCTCCTCTTTTAATCACACTCTGGGCTTCTTGCAAAGTGGAAGTAAAGCATTTGTAAGAAACCATTCCTGCCTTGAGGAAGAGTGGCTAAGTTTGTTATACATTGGTATAGGCTAGAGGTAGGCAACCTTGGCTCTTTGATGACTCGTGGACTTCAACTCCCAGAATTCCTGAGCCAGCATGGCTGAGCTTGGAAACCTCTCCCTTTCCCCTCAGCGTGGCTGGCTCAGGAATTCTGGGAGTCGAAGTCCATGAGTCATAAAAGAGCCAAGGTTGCCTACCTCTGGCCTAGGCCTAGGCCGATTTAAGACTCGTGGACTTCAACTCCCAGAATTCCTGAGGCAGCCATGCTGAGGGGAAAGGGAGAGGTTTCCAGGCTGAGCCATGCTGGCTCAGGAATTCTGGGAGTCGAAGTCCACCAGTCATAAAGGCATCATAGTTCCCACATGCTGGCTCAGGAATTTTAGGAGTTGAAGTCCACGAGTCATAAAGCGGCTTAGGCCTAGTCCAGAGATAGGCAAGCTTGGCTCTTTTATGACTTGTGGACTTCAACTCCCAGAATTCCTGAGGCAGCCATGCTGAGGCGAAAGGGAGAGGTTTCCAAGCTGAGCCAGGCTGGCTCAGGAATTCTGGGAGTTGAAGTCCACAAGTCATAAAAGAGCCAAGGTTGCCTACCCCTGGTATAGACCCAGACCAGGGAGACAGATGGTTAAACACTGTGGAGACTCTACGAGGCAACTTAATAATCTTGCAGAGTTGTTGTGAGCATAAAAAACAAGGGATGGTTGCCTTAAGCTCGTAGGCCAGGGCTAGGCAACCTCAGCTCTTTTATCACTCATGGACTTCAACTCCCAGCTATGCTGACTCAGGAATTCTGGGAGTTGAAGTCCAGGAGTCATAAAAGAGCCGAGGTTGCCTAACCCTGGCCTAGGCTGTGGTTCTCGGTCTTGGCAACCTGAAGAAAGGTGGAATTCCCAACTCCCAGAATTCCCCAGCCTGGAGAAACACTAATGCTCCAAACTTTGCTTTTTCACAGGACTTCGAACTGAGCAAGATCTCTACGTACGACTCATTGATTCCATGTCCAAGCAGGTAACCACGCCCTGTGCTTGGGGTACGATGGGGTGGCATCCTTAACGTTTTTGGCTGTGCTTAAGAGGGCCATCACTGATATTTCTGGGATTTAGAACAAACATACTGCAACGCCCATTGCAAAGTCCTCCAAAGGATGCTGGGAATTGTAGTTTGGAGGAAGAGGCAGCAATAATTCGCTTAGTGATCGTTCGAAATTACAACGGCACTGAAAAAAGTGGCCTATGACCATTTTTTACACTTATGACCATTGCAGCATCCCTAGGGTCACGTGATCTACCTTTGGATGCTTGACCACTAACATTTAGGACTGTTGCACTGTCGTAGGGTCACACAATCACGTTTTGCGACCTTTTGACAAGCTCAACGGGGGAAGTTAGATTCCCTTAAAAAACTGTATTATTAACTTAGCAACTGCAGTGATTCACTTAACAAATGTGGCAAGAAAAAATAGTAAAATGCAGTTAAACTCACTTAACAAATGTCTCATTTAACAAATGTGTCATTTAGCAACCTAAATCTTGGACTCAGTTGTGGTCATAAGCTGAGGACTACTTGTACATTGCAACAATAATAACTTCCCCGCAAAACAGGTCAAACATTTATAAACTTCTACATCTATTTGCAACTCAATATGACCCGTGATACGTTACATATACGAAGGAAAAAATAGTTAACACTTAAAATTAATGACAAAGCAAAACTCCCAGGCTCTCGGTCAATTATCAGTTATTGTATTTTACTCGTAGGAACTCCCCAGCAGTTTATCTACTACAAATCATTGCAAACATTATCCCTGATCCATCCAGGATCAAATCAAATCAGATGTCCCCATTAACCTAGGTTATGAAAAGACAGACCTTTTCACCAGCTCTGCCCCCAAATTAGGCCTTTGCTGGCGGGGAAAAAGTGCAATTGGTCCCCGATGTTAAAAACAAGCAACTGTTAGAATTTGCACGCTCTGAACAAGGTCGCTCTGGAGGAAAACTCCCAGGGAATTAATTCTTGAAAATAATTGAAGAGGCTTCATTAAGTTTCCATCTTATTAATCAACACCATTAAGTGGAGAGGCAGATTCCTGGCTGGGGGTTAAGAGCTCCTGGCCCAGATGGGACAGCGGGTGTTTAACACCTACTTTGCACCAAGGAGCGTCCCGCGCTATTTTTTTCCGAACCCTGGATTTTCTCCCAGAGGTCTGACTTTATGCTTGACCTTAAATGAAAAGAAGGAAAAGAATCATGCTTCGCTAAATGTCTAGTTGAATGAAGAGAAGGACGAGGGGGGACATTCACAGCCTTCCAGTATCTCAGGGACTGCCCCAAAGAAGAGGCAGTCAAGCTATTCTCCAAAGCACCAGAAGGCAGGAGAAGCAGCAACGGATGGAAACTAATCAAGGAGAGAAGCAACCTGGAACTAAGGAGAAACTTCCTGACAGTTAGAACAATTAACCAGTGGAACAACCTGCCTCCAGAAGCGGTAAATGCTCCAACACTGGAAGTTTTTAAGAAGAGACTGGACGGCCATTTGTCTGAAATGGTGTAGGGTTTCCTGCCTGAGCAGGGGTTTGGACTAGATGACCTCCAAGGTCCCTTCCAGCTTTGATATTCTGTTAACTGGCAGATGCCTTGATCCAATTCTGTGAGAATGTTAGGGGGTGGGGATGGGAAAGTCCCCCCCCTTCTCTCTCTCTCTTTTTCTCTCTGTCCTTCCCACCTCCCCATTCATTAGCTATGCAGCCTAATTCTGGTTTCCTTTGTTCAACCAAGCTGAATCCCCCGTGCCCAGCAAGATTGGATATCAAAGGTCAGGGGACATTTGCGATCGATAGGAAATCAATCTGAATCCAAAAGAACCAGCCTCCCCTATTCGTCCAAGCCTGGGGAGGAATGATCCATGCAACCCTGGTTTATTGGCAGGCAGGAAGAGGCAGATTGGAAAGCAAGACCTAAAGGGAGGTGGGTTGGAGACGCAGAGAAGTCCAGCCACAAAGAAAATAAAATAGAGAGAATGGACAACCATTTGTCTGAAATGGTGTAGGGTTTTCTGCCTGAGGAGGAGGTTGGACTAGAAGACCTCCAAGGTTCCTTCCAGCTTCTATTCTATTCTATTCTATTCTATTCCATTCCATTCTATTCTGTTCCTTATTCTATTCTGTTCTATTCCACTGTACTCTACTCTTCCATTCCATTCTCTATTCTATTCTACTCTACTCTACTCTACTCTACTTCTATTCTATTCTATTCTATTCTATTCTATTCTATTCTATTCCATCCCATTCCATCCCATTCTATTCTGTTCCTTATTCTATTCTGTTCTATTCCACTGTACTCTACTCTTCCATTCCATTCTCTATTCTATTCTACTCTACTCTACTCTACTCTACTTCTATTCTATTCTATTCTATTCTATTCTATTCTATTCTATTCTATTCTATTCTATTCCATTCCATTCCATTCCATTCTGTTCCTTATTCCTGTTCTATTCCACTCTACTCTACTCTTCCATTCCATATTTTCTATTCTATTCTATTCTATTCTATTCCATTCCATTCCATTCCTTGTAATTCTATTCTGTTCTGTTCTGTTCTTGGTCTTGGTCTTGAAGGGCACCCTTCCATGTAGATGTCTACATGGAGGTAACCATCACGTTGTGTGATGGTTGACCTATCTCAGAAGGTTGTGGAGATGCATCTATCTGGGACAGCAATACCTCACCTTTCCTGAGGATCCACCTGAGACAGAGTCAGGGATGCCCAGCAAGGGACAGAAAGATGGAAGGAAGGAGGCCTTAATGGTATCGATGGTTGAAGCTCTGCACAGAATGACCCAACCATGGTCTCCTGCAGAAGACCAGCAGGTCTGCAACTATCCGGGCACTTCCTAAAGTTGCGTCTCCTTCTTGATTGCAGGCCATCATCTACGAAGGTCAGGATAAGAACCCCGAGATGTGCCGGGTCTTGTTAACTCACGAGATCATGTGCAGGTAAGTCGTGGCTGGGCACGGTGGGCTGGGTGACATTAAAAGAGGACTTCTGGGAAACTTTGAGCAGGACACTTTGGGGTGTGAAGGTGAGGCCGTTTTGCAAAGCGCCAGAAGCAACAAGCAGGATGATCTGGAGGTTGGAGTCGGTGGCTTAGAAGAAGGGGGATGCCTGCAGGGACAGGGGGTCAAAAAAGTCAAAATGGCTATGATTGAAGAGCCCTGTTGCATGTAACAAGGGAAACCAAGAGGGGAAAATTTGAGAAACTGAAGAATTCAAAGCAGCCACAGCCATTTAGATTTCAGAAAAGGGGGTTGGCTGCCCACTGTTGGATTCAGGATGTAGGAATTGTCGGACCTTTGACCTGTGGCGGCAAACTTTGTCCAACATTCTGAATTAATAACCAGGATGTCCAGAATTAAGCCTTCAGGTCTAGTTTCAACCAGTCGTCCTTCTGTTCTTCTTCACAAGGGCCTGGCTCACACGGCCTGGGTGAAGTGGCTTAAATTAAGATGAATGAGGAGCATTTTAACCCAGGTTTGTAGTCATGGTTTGTAGAAAGTTGGTTTCCCCTTAGCCACAGTTACAAGGGTGGGAGGAAGAAGAGGAAGAGAGGAATGAAAGTGGGAGGGAAGGAAGGAGGAGCAGAGGGAGAGAGGGAGGGAGGGAGAGGAAGGAAAGGAGAGAGGGGGGAGAGAGAAAGGGAAGGAGGGAGGAAGGAGAGGGAGGGATGAGAAGGAAGAAAGGAAGGAAAGAAGGATGAGACAGATGAAATGGAGGGAGGGAGGAAGGAAGGAAGGAAGGGAAGGAGAAAGAAAAAGGAAGGAAAGAAGGATGAGACAGATGAAATGGAGGGAGGGAGGAAGGAAGGAAGGAAGGAGAAAGAAAAAGGAAGGAAAGAAGGATGAGACAGATAAAATGGAGGGAGGGAGGGAGGGAGGAAGGAGAAAAAGGAAGGAAAGAAGGATGAGACAGATGGGAGGGAGGGAGGAAGGAAGGAAAGGAAGGAAGGAAGGAAGGAGAAAGAAAAAGGAAGGAAAGAAGGATGAGACAGATGAAAGGGCGGGAGGGAGGGAGGGAGGAAAGAAGGAAGGAAAGAAGGAAGGAAGGAAGGAAGGAAGGAAGGGAGGGAGGGAGGGAGGGAGGGAGGGAAGGAGGAAGGAAGGAAGGAAGGAAAAATCCCATAACATATTTCCGCCCAAGAAATTTTATTGAAAAGCTTTCACCTTGAGCTTCCCTGATAAAGCATTTCCAGCCAAGTGAGCTTCAGCTCACAAATGCTTCCGCCTTTTATTAAATTTAGAGCTACCAGACTCCTCCTGAAGATACAATTGCCAGATACAATTCTAAAGCCATCTTATTAAAGAATACACTGCATTTTTAACGGGGGGGGGGGGGGGAATGTGTCAGTGCGCCTTAATGGTGCAGGTGGGTGCAGGTGGGGGGCTGATGCTTGCAAGAAAAAGGTGAGTGGGTAGGGAACATTGAACGCTGTTCCTTATCCTACAACAGGGATGTCCAACCTTGGCACCTTTAAGACTTAGGGACTTCAACTCCCAGAATTCCCCAGCCAGCCATTGGCTGGGAATCCTGGGAGTTGAAGTCCACACATCTTAAAGTTGCCACGATTGGCCACCTCTCTCCTATGTCACAGATACCATCAGAATAACAGAGTTGGAAGGGACCTTGGAGGTCATCTAGTCCAACCCCCTGCTCAGGCAGGAAACCCTATACCATTTCAGACAAATGGCTGTCCAGTCTCTTCTTAAAAACTTCCAGTGTTGGAGCATTCACCACTTCTGGAGGCAGGTTGTTAATAATAATAATAAAGTTGGAAGGGACCTGGGAGGTCACCTAGTCCAACCCCCTGCTCAGGCAGGAAACGCTACACCATTTTGGACAAATGGCTGTCCAGTCTCTTCTTCAAAACTTCCAGTGTTGGAGCATTTACTGCTTCTGGAGGCAGGTTGTTCCACTGGTTAATTGTTCTGACTGTCAGGAAGTTTCTCCTTAGTTCCAGGTTGCTTCTCTCCTTGATTGGTTTCCATCCATTGTTTCTTGTCCTGCCCTCTGGTGCTTTGGAGAATAGCTTGACTCCCTCTTCTTTGGGGTAGCCCTTCATATATTGGAAGATTGCTATCATGTCACCCCCTGGTCCTTCTTTTCATTAAACTAGAATTAAACCCAGTTCCTGCAACTTCTTGCATCCTCCTCACTTCTTGGATCAGGAGGTGGAAGAAACTCACCCAAAGATTTGGCAGGACCCAAATCCATGCATTCTAATGTGCTTTTGAACTCAAAGACTGGGCACACGTGGATGCCGCCATATTGAAATGTAGAGCAAAGGCTTCGGGGGTCTTCAAACTCGGCCCTTTTATGACTTGTAGACTTCAACTCCCACAATTCCTCAACCAGCATGCCTGGCTGAGGAATTCTGGGAGTTGAAGTCCACAAGTCATACAAGCGCCAAGTTTGAAGACCCCTGATACAGACTTTAAGAGGAGTGGACCTCAAGTCCCAGAATTCCTCAGCCAGTGTGCCTGGCTGAGGAATTCTGGGAGTTGAAGTCCACAAGTCATCAAAGGGCCAAGTTTGAAGACCCCTGGCTTAAGTGGAACCACAGGACAGGCTGGGCAGGCTGTGTGTGTATATGTTGCCTCTGTGGCTAAATTCACACCCAGGACCAGCCAGGAGGGGGGACTGCCTCCTTCACCAAATGCTGGGAGGTGGGTCCACTGGGGGGGGGGGTGAGTGTGAAGGAGCCACACTCGACAGCTAAGCTCCCGGGTGTCCTATTAACGCCTGCTTTGTTTACTGCGTTTGCTCTTGGTGTTTTGCAAATTAGCACGGCTGCCTCCTTGCCAAGTTTCATGGCTAATTGATCTTCAGGAGCCTTGCTAATGATCCCAGGGGCTAAGGGAATAGGTGGGGTGGCTCGGGGACTCGTAGGAGCGACTCGAGAGGGCAAAATATTGTGGCTTCCACGCACGCCGTTGGTTTTGTTGTTTATGGAACGACGGGTGGAATTGCCGGTCCCCCGAGGGGAGCCGGGAATAAAATTTAGAGCTCTCGGCTGTTTATCAGATCAGAGATTAATTATATTTAATGTGAGGGATGGTACTCGCTCTAATGATTGAGAAAACAGTAATTGGGTAGGGATCTCGAAAAGTAGGGCGTACAACGGCAAGGATGCTTAACACTGAGACAAGATCTGGTCATCTCTCTTCTTTGGGGAGGATCCATCCAGAAATCCACGTTCCACTGGCTGCAGTAGTGAGTTTTCATCGCTGGATTAACTACGTTTGGTATAGGACCATGGTGGCGAACCTATGGCACGGGTGCCACAGGTGGCACGCAGAGCCCTCTCTGTGGGCACGCGTGCCGTCGCCCCAGTCCTAGGCCTTCAGCTGGCTTTTTTTTTTATTAAAAAAGTTTTTATTTTCCATTTATTCATACAAAATACAATTAAATTCCTAACCATTGGTACCGCCTGCCCATTCCCCCCAGGCTGCGTCCACCCTCTCTAATCCACTTCCCTCCTCTTTCTCTCCTCCCCTCCTACTCTCTTCCCCTCCCCTTCTCCTCTAACCATCCTACTTCCTCCCTACTCCTTCCTCCCCTCTCATCCCTCTCACACACATGAACGCAGCATAGGGGAAACGCCCAAGCGTTTACCATGTCTATATTATCATTACCCACCCACTCACCCACCCACCCACCCTCAACCCTCCCCCCCTCGCTTCCCAAAGCAGAATACAGGGTTATTATTAAGAAAGTTAACAATAATAAAAAAGAAAAAAGAAAAAAAATAAAAGAGAAAAAAAAACCATCATACTTAACCTTTAATTCCCCTTAAATTAAGTCATATAAACAAATCTCTACAACAGTTACTATAAAATTTACTCATAAAATAAATGAAACTTTATAGTCCCATATTTTTTCTGAATATAATCTATCCATCTTCTCCAGACAATAATATATCTTTCTTGTGGTATGATCCTTCAAATAAGCAGAAATTTTTGCCATTTCTGCAAAGTTAGAAACTTTAAATATCCATTCTTCTAAAGTAGGCAACGAGTCCTTCTTCCAATATGAGCCTACTGATAACCTTGCTGCAGTTAATAAATTCAACATTAAAGTAGTGTCTTTGTCATTTAAATCCACAAGGATACCCAATAAGAATAATTGAGGGGTGAACTTTATCTTCCTTTTAAAAATCTTTTGAATGTTCCACCAAATCTCATCCTTGCGCAGGGGCCATGCTAATCTTCTCTGTATCGTTCCAATTTTAGTATATGTGCTGCCAAAGCAAGCCTTCAGCTGGCTTTTATAAAACCTTTTCGCTTTAGGCCTCCACCGCCGTGTGCAAAAAAAAAAAAAAGAAGGTTCAATCAATCAATTTCAACTTCTCGGGGGGGGGGGGGGAAAAAAGATCTCGCAAAGTTGGAATTGATTGATTGAACTTTTTAGTCCCACCCAGTCTGCCGTTACCACCGCAGCCACGCCCACCCAATGGGTCACGCCCACCCAATGGGCCACCGCCATCCAATTGGCCATGCCCACCCAATGGGCCACAGCCATCCAATGGGCCACATCCACCCAATGGGCCACGCCCACCCAGCACCCGACGATACATAAGTGGGTTTTGGGTTGCAGTTTGGGCACTCGGTCTCTAAAAGGTTCGCCAGCACTGGGATAGGATTTACTGCTTAAGCAGGGGTTGGACTAGACGACCTCCAAGGCCCCTCCCAACTCTCTACTATTCCATTACATAGTTTCTTGCAAAACAGGATTCCCAAAGAGGAAAGTCAGTCCTGTTCCAAGGTGTCCAAACTTAGCAACTGCTTTGGAGTAGGAGTCCCTGTCTGCGTCTCTTTAAAGCAGCTGCTTCTTTTCCCTGGATGAACAGTTGCCCCCTGTGAAAAGATGTGATTGCTTTAAACCAGTGGTTCTCAACCTTTTTAATGCCGTGACCCCCAACCGGTCGTAAGTTGAGGACTACTCAACCGGTCGTAAGTCGAGGACTACTCAACTGGTGCAGCACCGTTTGCAGAATGGGACTTTTGGCGGGCTCAGCAGGGCAGAGACAGCCTGGACAATTCCTATTGGCTTTTGAAAGCCAATAGAATTAGACTCTATTCAAGAGAGTCTCTTCTATTGGCTTTCAAAAGCCAATAGAATAAGAGGGAGGAGCACAGCTAAGGAAAAGGGGGGGAAAATGGCGGACTGCGTTGTTTGGCGACCCCCCGTGAAATGGTCGTTTGACCCCAAATGGAGTCCCGACCCACAGGGTGAGAACCGCTGCTTTAAAAAGTTACACATGAGCTTGTTCCAGGCCCCATATGCAGCAAAGCCTGTTTTTGGAACAGAACCAAACCACCGCGGAATCTTTGTGGCCAAATTTTTTTTGGGGGGGGGGAAATTTGGGGAAACTTAATGCTCTTCTTTGCAACCAGTTTCCCATGCTTCCACAGTGGGTTGATGTGCAGGACATCTACTGGGGTGTCTTTCTTGACTGCCCTCCCTCCCTCAGCGGTTTGCAAGATTTGTTCTCTGTCCTTGAGAGACAAACCAAGTTTCAGAACTCTTTGTGGCAAGGAGAACCAAGTTGCAAAGCGATCCAGGCCCCTTGGGACTGTCTTAGTGCGTTGATTTCTCTGCTTCCTCTCTGTGCTGGAGGGAATTTGGGAAAAGGCGATGCCTGCAGGCACCCAGTATTTCAGATTTCTGAAACATAAAGATGAACATACTACTTACTAGTACAGTGGTTCTCAACCTTTTTAATGCCGCGACCCCCAACCGGTCGTAAGTCGAGGACTACTCAACTGGTGCAGCACCGTTTGCAGAATGGGACTTTTGGCGGGCTCAGCCGGGCAGAGACAGCCTGGACAATTCCTATTGGCTTTTGAAAGCCAATAGAATTAGACTCTATTCAAGAGAGTCTATTCTATTGGCTTTCAAAAGCCAATAGAATAAAAGGGAGTAGCACAGCTAAGGAAAAGGGGAAAAGAAAATGGCGGACTGCGTTGTTTGGCGACCCCCATGAAATGGTCGTTCGACCCCAAATGGGGTCCCGACCCACAGGTTGAGAACCACTGTACTAGTAGTAGTACCTTCATAGTACCTTTTAATTCTATCTGGCAGGCGTAAATAGTTAAGGCAGTGATGGTGAACCTTTTAGAGCAGTGGTTCTCAACCTGTGGGTCGGGACCCCATTTGGGGTCGAATGACCATTTCACAGGGGTCACCAAACCATGCTGTCCGCCATTTTTTCCCTTTTCCCTAGCTGTCCTACTCCCTCTTATTGGTGGCCACACCCACTTGGGGGTCACCACAACATGGGGAACTGTATTATGGGGTCACGGCATTAGAAAGGTTGAGAATCACTGTTTTAGAGAGACCCAGTGGCCAAACTGCAACCCAAAACCCACTTAGGCATCGTCGGGTGCCGGGTGGGTGTGGCCCATTGGGTGGGCGTGGCCCATTGGGTGGGAGTGGCCCACTAGGTGGGCGTGGCTGCGGTGGTAACGGCAGACTGGGTGGGACTAAAAAGTTCAATCAATCAATTCCAACTTTGCAAGATCTTTTTTTTTCTGCGAGAAGTTGAAATTGACGGATTGATTGAACCTTCTTTTTTTTGTACACGGCGGCGGAGGCCTAAAGCGAAAAGGTTTTATAAAACCCAGCTGAAGGCCCAGGACTGGGGCAATGGCGTGTGTGCCCACAGAGAGGGCTCTGAGTGCCGCCTCTGGCACCCGTGCCATGGGTTCGCCACCACTGAGTTAAGGGAACAGAAGAAGAATCAGGGTTAGTATGGGAAGGAAGGAAGGAAGGAAGGAAGGAAGGAAGGAAGGAAGGAAGGAAGGAAGGAAGGAAGGAAGGAAGGAAAGAAAGAAAGAGGGAAGGAAGGAAGGAAGGAAGGAAAGAGGGAAGGAAGGAAGGAAGGAAAGAAGGAAGGAAAGAAAGAAGGAAGGAAGGAAAGAAAGAGGGAAGGAAGGAAGAAAAGAAAGAGGGAAGGAAGGAAAGAAGGAAGGAAGGAAGGAAGGAAGGAAGGAAGGAAAGAAAGAGGGAAGGAAAGAGGGAAGGAAGGAAGGAAGGAAAGAAAGAGGGAAGGAAGGAAGGAAAGAAAGAGGGAAGGAAGGAAGGAAGGAAGGAAGGAAGGAAGGAAGGAAGGAAGGAAAGAAAGAGGGAAGGAAGAAGGGAGGGAGGGAGGGAGGGAGGGAAGGAAGGAAGGAAGGAAAAAAAGAGGGAAGGAAAGAGGGAAGGAAGGAAGGAAGGAAGGAAGGAAAGAGGGAAGGAAGGAAGAAGGAAGGAAGGAAGGAAGGAAAGAGGGAAGGAAAGAAGGAAAGAAGGAAGGAAGGAAGGAAGGAAGGAAGGAAGGAAGGAAGGAAGGAAGGAAGGAAGGAAGGAAGGAAGGAAGGAGGGAAGTTGAACTCCTGGGAGTTGAAGTCCACAAGTCATAAAAGAGACAAGGTTCCCCAACCCTGCTTTAGATGTTCAGGGAAAGTCATACACAATCTTGTGTTTCTCCTCTGCCTGACCCTCCCCCCCTCTTTTCTCCCAACCCCACAGCCGCTGCTGTGACAAGAAAAGTTGTGGAAACCGCAACGAGACCCCCTCCGATCCGGTCATCATTGACAGGTAAGACCAGGTCTGCATGTCCACCTTGCAGTTGTCCTGGGATAGCCAGAACCTGTGAACAGAACTCAAGCCAGATTTGGTTGAAGGGTTAAGTCGCAGAAAGTGAGAGGGAGTCAAGGCCGGCCTCACAGTCTAACGCAGTGGTTCTCAACCTTTTTAATGCCGCGACCCCCAACCGGTCGTAAGTCAAGGACTACTCAACCGGTCGTAAGTCGAGGACGACTCAACTGGTGCAGCACCGTTTGCAGAAGGGGACTTTTGGCGGGCTCAGCAGGGCAGAGACAGCCTGGACAATTCCTATTGGCTCTTGAAAGTCAATAGAATTAGACTCTGTTCAAGAGAGTCTATTCTATTGGCTTTCAAAAGCCAATAGAATAAAAGGGAGTAGCACAGCTAAGGAAAAGGGGGGAAAAAATGGCGGACTGCATTGTTTGGCGACCCCCGTGAAATGGTCATTCGACCCCAAAGGGGGTCCCGACCCACAGGTTGAGAACCACTGCTCTAACAAAATGACACTCATTGTTTGCAAGTTCTTTTCTTTAGTTTGGTTAAGGCTAGAAAGCAGCAGAAGTCCGTGGATTTTAGCCCCACCTTAGCCAAGAAAGCTGGCTGGAGGACTCGGGGCCTATCACCAGGAGACAAGGAACTCTGGTCCTGCCTTAACCATGAAAGTTAGCTCGGTGACATTGGGCCAGTCACCAAGAAACTATGAACACTAGTCCTGCCTTAGGCGTGAAAGCCGGCAGAGTGACGTTGAGCTGGTCCATTTCTCTCACGCCAACCTAACTCATAGAGTTGGTTCTCTTGGTAAAAGAGGAACATGCGTTGTATATGTTCACCATTTCAAGTCGTTTATAAAAAATAAAAAAGCATGTGATACAATAAACAAACAAACAAACAATGGTCAAAGTTCAGTTGGGATTGGATAAGGAACAACAGAATTCAGGACATCGGCCTTTGTGGCAACGCAATGACTCTAAATAGATGACAGGTTTAATCCCATTGTACAGCTCAGCCTGTAATAGAGAAATAGAATTGGAGCGGGCCTGGGAGGTCATCTAGTCCAACCCCCTGCTCAGGCAGGAAACCCTACACCATTTCAGACAAATGGCTGTCCAGTCTCTTCTTAAAAAACTTCCAGTGTTGGAGCATTCACCGCTTCTGGAGGCAAGTTGTTCCACTGGTTAAATGTTCTCACTGTCAGGAAGTTTCTCCTTAGTTCTAGGTTGCTTCTCTCTTTGATCGGTTTCCATCCGTTGCTTCTTGTCCTGCCTTCAGGCGCTTTGGAGAATAGCTTGACTCCCTCTTCTTTATGGCAGCCCCTGAGATATTGGAAGATTGCTATCATGTCCCCCCTCGTCCTTCTCTTCATCAAACTGGACATCCCCAATTCCAGCAACCGTTCCTTGTGTGTTTTATCCTCCAGTCCTCTGATCCTCTTCTCTGTACTCTTTCTAGAGTCTCAACATCTTTTTTACATCATGGCGACCAAAAGTGGATGCAGGATTCCCCATTTGCTCTTACCAAAGCCTTATAAAGCAGTACTAAGAGTTCATATGATCTTGATTCTGTCCCTCTGTTGATGCAGCCCAGGACTGCGTTGGCTTTTTTGGCTGCTGCCACACATTGCAATTTGTGGTTCCACAATTCTACCTGTTGTATACTGGGAGGAAAAGGAAATTTCTTTGTTTTGCAAGGTCGATGTATCTAAGACACAGCAGAAGCTGTTGGAGGAAGATTCGGGGGTGGGGGCGGGGGCAGAAAAGGCAGCCCAGCCCCACCCAAACCTGGGGGGCTATGGAAAGAAAAGGGGATCCTTGCAAAGGATATTATTATTATTATGGATCATCGCACAGTCAGCCAGATGTTCAGACTGGATTTGGCATTTTGTCTACCTATCGAGTCTTTACCCAGGACCTGGGATAGGCAGATGTGGATGTTTGATGGTATTACAGATATCGTCGCAGGATGGAAGCAGTTCCTAGTAAGGCCGCCTTTTGCAATTGACTAATAGCGAATTTGTCAATGCCAATGGTGTTCAAGTGGTGCTCCAGTTGTTTTGGGATTGCACCCAAGGAGCCTATGACTATTGGTACTACCCTTGCTTGCTTTTGCCACAGTCTTTCTATTTCTATTTGTAGGTCTTTGTATTTTGTTATCTTCTCCAGTTCTTTCTCTTCTATTCTGCTATCTCCAGGCACTGCCACATCCACTATCCAGACTTTTTTGTCTTTCTTATCGACAATTGTTAAGTCTGGGGTGTTATGTTGCAGGTGCTTGTCTGTTTGAATTCTGAAGTCCCAGAGCAGTTTAATTTTATCATTTTCTATGACTTTCTCTATTTTATGATCCCACCAGTTTTTGCTTACAGGCAAATGATATTTTTTGCAGATCTTCCAATGCACCATTGTTGCTACTTTGTCATGCCGCTGCTTGTAATCAGTCTGTGCAATCTTCTTGCAACAGCTTACCAAGTGGTCCACTGTTTCTTCAGCTTCTTTGCATAGGCGGCACTTACTGTCTGTTGCTGTCTTCTCAATTTTGACTTTGTATGCATTTGTCCTTAAGGCTTGGTCTTGTGCAGCCAGAATTAGTCCCTCGGTCTCTTTCTTCAATTTTCCTGCTCTTAGCCATTGCCAGGTCTTGTTATTATCTGCTTTCCCAGCTATTTTTTAATGTATTGGCCATGTAGTGCTTTGTCTTCCCATGCCTCTATTCTGTTCTTCATTTGGTCTTTCTTGTAGGCCAGTTTGGTCTCTCCAGTAGTCAGTAAGCCTTCCTGATATACTAATTTCAGTGCATCTTCATCATTGTTCTTCAGATATTCTTCCAAAGCCATTTTTTCTTCTTCAACCATCTGATGTACTTGTAGCATTCCAAAGTCCACCTATTTGCCTTGGTAGATAAAGTCTGTCAATGTCACTGCGTGGATGAAGGGCATGATTCATTGTCATTATTTTTCTGGTCTGCCTATCCATTGCTTTTAGTTCTGCTTGAGTCCAGTCCACTATTCCAGCTGTGTACCTAATGACTGGGATTGCCCAGGTGTTGATTGCCTTTATGGTATTTCCTCCATTGAGTTTGGACTTTAAGATCTTCTTCACTCTCTTGATGTATTCACCTCTAATCTTTTTCTTGACTTCAGTGTGCTTGATGTTGTCAGCTTGAAGGATACCCAAGTATTTGTAGTACTCTTCCTCATCCAGACTCTTAATGTTATTTTCGTGGGGCATCTTGATTCCTTCAGTTTTCACTATTTTTCCTTGTTTGATAGTAAGTGTGGCACATTTCTCCAAGCCAAACTCCATTACAATATCTTGGCTATATATACGGACAGTGTTGAGCAGCGATTCTATTTCAGATGATGTTTTTCCATACAACTTCAGATCATCCATGTAAAGGAGATGGGATAGTCTGATAGATGTTTTTGATGTTTGATAGCCATGTCCTGAGTTATTCAGTATTGTTGACAGAGGAAACAGTGTAATAACAAATAGTAATGGTGACAATGAATATCCTTGAAATATTCCTCTCTTGATATTAACCTCTCCCAGTCTCTCACCATTGATCTGCAACTGTGTCTTCCATTGTGCCATCGATCTTTGCACAAATTTTCTGATGTTTCTACTGACTCCTGTTATTTCTAGGCACTTGATTATCAGTCATGTGGCAGAGAGTCAAATGCCTTTTTGTAGTCAATCCATGCCACATTCAGGTTGGTCTTCCTTTTCTTGCAGTTTTCCAAGATCATTTTGTCTATTAGGAGTTGATCTTTTGTTCCTCTGCTATATTATTATTATTATTATTATTATTATTATTATTATTATTATTATTATCGATCATCGCACAGTCAGCCAGATGTTCAGACTGGATTTGGCATTTTGTCTACCTATCGAGTCCTTACCCAGGACCTGGGATAGGCAGATGTGGATGTTTGATGGTATTACAGATATCGTCGCAGGATGGAAGCAGTTCCTAATAAGGCCGCCTTTTGCAATTGACTAATAGCGAATTTGTCAATGCCATGATGGTGTTCAAGTGGTGCTCCAGTTGTTTTGGGATTGCACCCAAGGAGCCTATGACTATTGGTACTACCCTTGCTTGCTTTTGCCACAGTCTTTCTATTTCTATTTGTAGGTCTTTGTATTTTGTTATCTTCTCCAGTTCTTTCTCTTCTATTCTGCTATCTCCAGGCACTGCCACGTCCACTATCCAGACTTTTTTGTCTTTCTTATCGACAATTGTTAAGTCTGGGGTGTTATGTTGCAGGTGCTTGTCTGTTTGAATTCTGAAGTCCCAGAGCAGTTGTTGTTGTTGTTGTTGTTGTTATTAAATTTCTGGTTTGCCTGGTGATCTTCTTGTCCCTTCGAGGAGTCGTCTGCTTCCTTCCCTCCAAAATCAGGAAGCTTCTCCTATTGTCACCTTCTGGGCTTGTGTGTTTGTGTGTGTGTCTGTGCGCGCACTCATGCAAGTCCCTTTCTCCCTCTCCCAGACAATGCACGGAGCCGATGGTAGGGGCCCTCCTGTTCTGGCATATGTATCCCGGTGGCAGTTGGGGGGTCTTGATAACAGGCTGACATTTCTCCAGCCTTTGTCCGCTCCTGATAACATCGGGCACGGCGCGAGGAGGCCCCATAGCTGGGCAGGCCTGCCTGTCACTCAGCCCCAATGCAGAGGCCTCTGACCGCCAGTGGAGAAGAATAAGGACTGACAAGCCTGCGGGGAGATTAGAAGCCTAAGAATCAAAGCTATTAGGGGCCGTCTCGCCATTGTCCCTGCTGATCGTTTTTGCCTTTCCTTCCATCGGCTCTCGCTTATTTTTCCTCGCACGCGGGACCAAAAAAAATAAATAAAAATCCAGCCACCGTCAGATTAAATTCCAGCAAGTTTGTGGGTGTCAGCTTTGCAAATCCTGGAGCTGGGCCAGAACGGACCAGGAATTGGCAGCACAAGATCTATATCCGTGGTGGAGAACCTATGGCACGCGTGCCACAAGTGAC